AACAAATAAATAATTTTTTAAAGTGTTTCTTAAAAAGTAAAAGTAGAATATTTGTGTTTGGGAGAACCCACTTCTCACACCAGATGTACGGGGATCTGACTCCTCTCCCCATTCTGCAGCAATTCACCAGCTTCTGTATACACCAGCTGGGTGCCTCATAATTTAAGTCAATTTCAGACATATAAAATAGCATCAGATCCGCCTGATTAAAGACTAGTATTTTGTTTGGTTGGTTTGGTGCTTAGGATTTTTTGGTGCTGGGGATTGAACCAAGTGCTGTCCTAATTTAAAATAAGGAAAATAATAACTTTGTGGGGCCATCTGCTGTTTAAAAAATTATTTTATGTGTATGAGTGTTGCTTACATGCATGTCTGTTTATTATATGCATGCCTGGTGTCCATAAAGGTCAGAAGAGGGCCTTGGATCCCCTGGAACTGGAGTTACATCATGTAGGTGTTTGGCGCAGAAGCTAAATTTTCTGCAAGAGCTTTTTACTGCTAAGCTGACTCTTCAGCCCCGATTATTTAAGTGCATATATGTCAGACAGAACACATGTAATGGTAGTCAGTAAAATGTGCTATGCCATTATGGCTTCCTTCCCTCCTTAGCTTTGTCATATTTCTTCCCGCCTTGAAAATTCTCCATAATGTAAAGTTTATTTTCAACTTTAAATATGCCTGCATTCTTTTTCTTTTCCTTAATTTGTTTAAATTCTTATTTCTTCTAAGAAGTACCGATTCTTTGCTAATGATTGTTTCTGTGCCATCCAGTTTGACAGCTTTCTTTGTATTTTTGTCTTTACTAGCGGTAGGGTGGGCTGACAGTTCCTTGGTAAAGGTGGATTAGAAAAAGAGCATTGATTGAACTTGAGTCAGAGGTCTTGGATTCTAGACTCTCGCACTTGGGAAAGTTCCCAAGTGTCTTCTTTTTTATGTAAGAGAGGTAACACAGTAGGATTTTGATGAGGGTCAGATAAAGTGTGTAAAGGAAAGCTGTCAGCTGTTGGTGGTACAACATAGTACTTTGTATGGCTCTGTACCTTGTACTGTGTCTTACTTATATTAAAATTTAAAGGTTAATTATAATGCCTTTTAAACTGTTTTCAGAGTTACCTGAAATTAAAAGATGTAACTTTTAATGCATTTTAAAGTTACAATCAACAGTTCATGATGAATATGTTATAGCTATCTGTTTTAAGTATTATTTGCTATTTAGTAATTCTTCTGATAAAATGCTGAGTTTTATTATACTGAAGTATAATTTAATTTCTAATTCTATCAAATTCTTTTTGTTTAGTTAAGTCTATCTTTTTGGTGGTGGTGATCAAACTAAAGAGGGTGATATGAAAGGTTTTTATTCTTATTACATCAGCCAGAAGAGGAAGAAAATATGAAATTAAAAATGCAGTTTCCTTTGTGGTTTATTTTGACAAATTTAGTATGTAAGTGAAATGATGTGTACAAGCAGGCTTTGGTACATAGTTGTAACATACAGGTGATCATTGAAGTGAAAAATAATTAAAACACAGTTCTATTAGTTAACAAATAAGCTCCCATAAAAAACAATTGTACAAAACATTATGTAACAATTTGATAAAACCAAGTTTTCTCAGGCTATTATAAGTTTTTAAAAATTATCTCACTGCCTTAATCCCAGCATTTGGGAGACAGAGGCAGACAAGCTATGTGAGTTCCAGGCACCCTGAACTACAGAGCATGTGCCAGGACAGACTCCAAAGCTACACAGAGAAACCCTGTCTCAAAACAAACAAACAACACCCCCCCCAAACCAAAGAAAAAAAATCTCCAAAAAAAAAAAAAAAAAAAAAACAAAACAAAAAAAAAACCAAAACCAAAAACAAAACAAAAAAACCCACAAAATATCTCACTGTTACAATTTAGATGGTTCTATTTTCTAGGTACAGATTTTAATTTAAATTTTTTCTGTTACAAAGATGACTAATATTTTTAAGGTTTAGGACAGTTTATCATAAAATTCTTATTTATCAAGAGATTTAGAAGGTAAGTAATAGGCTAGCAGAAAATAATTTAAAATAGTACCTGGTAATTGTTAAAGAACACTTAAAATATGAAAATGTAGCAGCCTGATAAAAGTGAGGCAAGATCAGATTAGACACTCCTCAAAGCAGATGGAAAGGGACTTAACTAACACTTGCTGGGGCTGCTGTAACAAAGCACCATAGACTTCTGGGCATGGTGGGATGTGCCTGTAATCTAGCACTGTAGAGGTAGAGGCAAGAGGACCTTTGTGCATTCAAGGCCAATTTGGTCTTGTCTTTTAGTAGGTGAATAAATAAACTATAGTATATCAAACTCTGAATAGATGTAGAGGAAACTTAGGCGCAGATTACCAAGTGAAGCCAGTATGAAAAGGCTGTCAACATTATGACTCCTACTTTGGAAAAGAGATGACAAGGACAGTAAAAAGGCCAGTGATTACTATGATTTAATATGAAGGATGAATAGAAAAAGAAAGAAGTTTTGTAGGTCAGTTAAAGTGTTTTATATTATCTTATAATAATAGGTTATAGCTCAGTGGTGATAGCACACACCTTTTGTAGCGCACTTGGGAGGCAGAGGCAGGCAGATTTCTGTGAATTCAAGGCCATCCTGGTCTACAGAGCAAGTTCCAAGATAGCCACAGCTGATACACAGAGAAGAAACCCTGTTTCAAAAAAAAAAAAAAAAAAAAAAAAAAAAAAACAACAACCACGATAATAATAATTATAGTAGGTTATATATCGTGCTATATTGCTTAAACCTATAGAATTTTCAACAAAGAGTAAACTTTAAACTATAAACTTAAGGTTGTGATATTGTCAATGTTCATTTATTGTTGTACAATAGACCGCTTTTGTTGGGAGATGTTAATTGTGGATGTAGTAGTTACCTGACCAAAACAACTCAAGGAAGAAAGGATTTATTCATGTTGGCTTACAGCTTTAGATATTCAGCTCATAACTTTGTTTCTGTGTCTGAAATGAGACAGAGCATCATGGTAGAAGGAACATGTAGCAGGGGGTACTCATATGGTGGTCAGGAAGTAGTAAGAGGAGGTGGGCAACTTCCTTCTATCCAGGTCTACTTCTCAGGACATCACAAAATAGCACTGCCAGCTAGAAGCAAGCTCCAAATATATAGGCCCTTTGAGAGGACACTTCCTATCCAAACCGTAACAACAGGTTAGCCTGTGAATCTACAGACAAAAACTATATGGGAAGTCTGCTAAAAGTACTTTAAAAAATAAAAATAATTAATTATTTTTCTTATTTATAATAGAAAATAATAATTTTGGGTACCAGGGCTGGTCTTCTGACTTTATCCGGTATTGTACAATTTAGTATTGACAGTATCATATGCTACAGGTTCAAAACATAGTTCCTAATAACTGGCCTTACTTTGGATAAAAAGCAGTTCCCTAGGCTAAACATACTTCTTGCTCTAAAATCAGGAGGCTCCCAAGATCCCTTCCCCCTGCCTCACAAGATTGTCCTCATTTAAGATGCCATATGCCATGGGGAGAAGGAAGGTTCTTGGAAGAAACACAGAGGATGGTATCTGAACATAGAGCTTCCATGCCTTCTCCCTATGTACTTAGGGTACATCAAATTCATAGCATATCTATGCCTTACCAACCAGAAAACTCCCCTGTACAGTTATCTAGACTGAAGTGCAGAACTGCATGGTTAGGGATGATTGATTGAATACTGGCTAGATAGTAGTTTAACTATAAATATGTCACCCTACCTCTTTCCATAGGGGTTTTGCTGGGCCAAAGCCCCTAATCTCAGGATTGATCTTTCAAGGATCAGTCAATAATCTTGTTTTCATGTAAACTCTGGTGTGAATCAAGGGGGTACACCCAAGTAACAAAGGTACTCCAGTCACCAAAGATATTCCTATGCTGAATACCCAGGAACCAAGTCAAAGAGTTATGACAGACTTAGCACCAGGATTTTTGGGTGGATAGAAGCATTTTGTGATATCTCATGGTTCTGGGGATCATCAAGTACACAGCATGCAATGCAAGTATTCTACCTTGACTTACTTTCTGAGCCCATAGGTTTCCTTCCTTCCTTCCTTCCTTCCTTCCCTCCCTCCCTCCCTCCCTCCCTCCCTCCCTCCCTCCTTCCTTCCCTTCCTCTCTTCTTCCCTCCTCCCCTTTTTCCTCCCTCCCCCTTTCCCTCCTCCCTCTCCCCCTCCCTCCCTTCCTTCCTTTTTTCTGAATTTGGAAATATTCTGTGGAAAGCTGAGGTGAGTATGAAAGTATTTAAAATTGTCATATTTAAGAAGAAAAGTTGAGTTTATCTGTATGAATCTGGTGTTTTAGTAGTTTAGAGCTTGTAGCTATTTGCATATTTGAAAATCATGTGGTTTTTGAATCTTGTATTTACAGTTTTATTGGTAAATAAAAAGGAGGACTGATGGGAGATGTCATTCTGTAAATATGTTTCTCATACTGGTTAATGAATAAAGCACTGTTGGCCAATAGGAAAGCAAGATAGGTGGGACCAAGATACAAGGAGGAAAGAGGAAGTAGTAGGGAGGAGTCAAGATGGAGAGTCTGGAGAGAGCAGGACACCAGCTGGCTCTCTGGTAAGAGGAGACCACGTGGAAATACATAGATTAACAGAAATGGGATAATAATTAAGACAGAGCTAGCCGATAAGAAACAAGTAATTGGCCAACAGCATTATATCAAATACAGAGTCTATTTGCATTATTTGGGGCTGGCGCGGCGGCTGGAAAAGACCAGTGGCAGGTGGACAAACCTTACTTGTTTTGAACAGCAATGAACAAAGAGAAACTTCTTTAATATTTAATGGCATGGCTCACATTGCTCAAGTACACAGCAGTTTTTGTCTAAGACGTACATTGCTTTGTTGGACTTATTTTTCCTTGTAATAGTAGATTATGTAAGTTTTAGGGTTCTCTTTCCTCCAAGGAACTGCTTGCTTAACCCTTTTTTTCTTTTGCAGATTGATTACACTGGAACAGAACCTTCCAGCCCCTGTAATAAATGTTTGTCCCCGAATGTGACATCCTGTGTTTGTACCATTAACTTCACACTGGAACAGTCGTTTGAGGTCTGTGTTTTAAAATAATGTATTAGAAAAGGCATGCTCTAAAAAATCATCCTATATTATTTTTTTAAAAGATGATTTATGTTGAGAAATCAACTTAGTTTATTGGAATCTATAGACATTTGAAGAGTATTCTATGTATCTGGTTGTTACATAATTAAATTAGTTAAATCTGATAATTCAGTGCATTATTTGAGTTCCTTGTCTTTTAGTATTTTGTAGATAAAATTTTAGGTATTTTGATATTCACTAGCCACATTATGAATGGCAGAAATCTTGTGCTTGTATTTTAAAGTTATTTCTTGATTCTTTGATTTCTGTGTAGATATTATAAATTCTTAGCCTTTTAAAATTATTCTTAATTTTTAAAAAACTTGATTATAAAACACATCTTACTGTGGACAATACTAATCATCCCATTGTGTAATGGAATTATTTGTGAGGTATGAAACAGTACCCAAAAATCAAGCACTTATTAAAATTTTATTGATATTTTATAGTTTGGTATTTTGACAACATCCCCCTGTGTATGTGTGTGTATGCGTGCTCACACACACACATACGTATACATATAGTATTAATAATGGCTTCTATCCTGAGCATATGGGAAAGGACATAAAAAATTCACATGGATAGAGACAAGTTTTTTTTTTTTTTTCCCCTGGGAATTGAGTTTAAAACCATTCTTCAGGAAGCAAAGCTGTAATAATACATATTAAGGTTTGAGTTTCCTTATTCAAATTTTCTAGATGTAGTGACAATTTTAGTAATGTCTGGTGAATGGAAGCCATGTAGTGATTACAGATGCTCTTGTACTAAGGGAAAAGTGTCTTTTGCTTTGGGACAAAGATGTGAAAACCCATTTGGAAAAGACCGCAAAGTGTCATTTTCAGTGTGGTGGGCAAACTATAAGGATGCATTAAATCTTGGTTTGGTGCATGGTTGAAGAAATCAAAGAGTTTGGATAAGTTAGAAATTTTGTTTTCTCCTCCTTATTCAAAACCATTTACTTTAACTCGGAAGGCTGAGGCCTTGAAAAACCAAAACTAAAACCAAACAAAACCAACAAACAACCCACTTGATTTAGAGCTCCCTTTACAAGTGGCCATTTATTCTTTGTAGGTATATTTCTTCACAGATTTTGAATTAGACTAAACCATTTCAGGGAACTTAAATAGTATATTTTATAACAGACTTGGCTGAGAGGATCTATTGTGTATCAGAATTGATTGAGAGGATCTCTTTTCCAGTTTACAAATTGGATTTACTATTATTGGTTCTTAATTTAGATGACATCTTTTTTTCCTAAATATTATATTTACATGTTTTTGTCATACAGTTTTATACTATTGCCCCACTGATTTCCACTTATCATCTTTCGTGTAGAATGGAAAAGTTTGTGGTTTGCTGTTTAACAATCTCTATTTTCATTCATTTATTTGCTTTTTGATGTGTAATTTCTTTATGTATTCTAGGTTGGCATTGGACTTGTTGTGTAGCTCAGGTTGGCTTGGAATTAGTGATCTTCCAACAAACCCACCAGCACTCAGTCTTCAAATCAAATGAATTGCTTCTAAATTTAGATAATTCCTTTTCATTGAAGATATGGATATAAAAATAGAGGCTGTCTGGCCTGTGGTGGCTTATACCTTTAATCCTTGCAGAGGCAGGTGGATCACTGTGAATTTGAGGTCAGCCGGTCTACAGAGTGAGCACAGAACAGCTAGGGCAATGCAGAGAAACCCTGTCTCAAGAAACTAAACTAACCTAAACTAAATAATATGTATGTATTATTTTTGTATATAGTCTTCTCTCTCTGCTATAGTTAAAATGGAGAAATAACATTTTTCTACTGCTAACAATTTTAGTCAGATGTTTTCTTAGCACCTTGTAGTTAATTTAGTTATGTTTTTTCCCCAAGATATTTTTGAAGTTGCTTTCATAAGAGTTCTACTTTTCATTGTTATTATTAAAAAGTATTATAATTGAATATATTTAAGCAACTACTAATTTACTAATTGCTAACAGTCTATAGTATTCAGGGGAAATATTTGGAGGACAGAAGGGGACCAGTGCAAGGCTGGAGGAAGAGTAATGAGCAGGAATATGAGCAAAGTAAAATGAAATGTATGCATAAAAATGTCATTATAAAATATTTGGTACACCAACTTAAATTTTTAATAAATAGGAAAAAGTAGTATATGTAGCATCCTGTTAAAATTGAACATTCTCATTCCATTTACAGTTTATTTGGACAATAAATCAAAAGTTTGATCATTCTTCTGAAAGGAAGATGCTAATTGGATAAAAACCAATCTGAATTAGAGAAAATTTTATATTAAAAGTAGCTCTGGCTGGGCGTTGGTGGCACACACCTTTAATCCCAGCACTCAGGAGGCAGAGGCAGGTGGATCTCTGTGAGTTCAAGGCCAGCCTGGTCTACAAGAGCTAGTTCCAGGACAGCCTGCAAAGCCATGGAGAAATGCTGTTTCGAAAAACCACAAAAAAAAAAGTAGCTCAGAGTACACTAATATTCTTTCAGTATTGTAGTATTGTTTTTTAATGAAAACAATGTTAAGTGTGCAGTATGCTGAATGCATGGGTTCCCTTGTCACCTTATTTTATGAGACAGGTCTCTCCATGAAGCTGGGGCTTGTAATTTAAATTAGACTGATTAGCCAGCAACCTCCTGGGATTTGACTTTTCCCCTGCCCCCATCACCCTCCATCTCTGGGTTATAGATGAATGTTGCCATGCTGACTTCTATGTAGGTGCTGGGATCCACACTGAGCTCCTCATTATTGCACAGCAAACACTTTACCTACTGAGCCATCTCTTCAGACTACACATAATACTTGAAAGATAGTTTAAAAGTTTCCTTGTGTATTTTTGTAATATAACTTCTTTAAGTTTATTTACAATTGCACAATTTGTTTTAGTGTGTTTGCTTGCTTTCGTGGTGTTGGGGATTGAATTCAGGGCCCTACACATGAACATTCCAGGCAGACACTTATCACAACTGTAGTCCCGGTGCTTATTAAATACTTGGTAAATAACTTGACTTAGTCAGCTAATGTAGTGTATCTAGGACTGCTTAGTTCAATACCTGATTTATAGGTAATAGTATTTCCCCTTCTTTTAAAACCTAACTAAGAGTTTAGGAGCTACAGTATAGTTGTTCTATTATGAGTTTATTTATATTGTACAATTTTTGTTGCTATTTCACCTTGGTCCCAGTTTATCACAAATTGTAAGCCAGTCAAGTACAGATTGTTTAAATTTTATACAATATGAAACAAATATCAATTCTTATGTTAAAAAGTCTTCCCCTTTCTGTTTTCTCTAGGGCAATGTATTTATGTATTATGGACTGTCTAATTTCTATCAAAATCATCGTCGTTATGTGAAATCTCGAGATGATAGCCAGCTAAATGGAGACCCTAGTGCTTTGCTTGTAAGTAAAGTGATGAAATACAGAAATGTGGCATCTGTGAAGTAAGAGCATAGTAAATACTCATTTAGAAATAGAAATGTTGAAGTACTAAAATTAAAGTATAACCTGTCTTTTCTAGATTTAACAGAAGTATCTAGTAGTCATGGGGGGTTTTTGCTTCATCTCTGTAATGGGATTTTGATGAATGATGTGTAAGTGTGTTCTGTTTGTGTCTGTTCATTATTTTATTTTTCTCTGTATCTTTGGTCAGGTTTTTATTCAAATAGGCTGTCTCTATTTGCTCTATGGAATGAAACAGATTTAAGCAGCAGGCTTTTTCTCTTCTATGGTAGGTTTCTTCTCTGCTGGTTACTTCCCAGCTGCTGGTTTCTTGGTAGTTGCAGTCTTTTACCCTGCAGGCATCTTCAGCTTCTTGACATCCACAGGCTTCTTCTTGTTCTAGGTAGGGGTATGCAGATGAGCTGTTTTTCATTTCTGCAATTGTGCTTTGAAATTGAATAATTGTCCTTTCTTTAAAGTTGTGGGAAGATGAAACAGCAAAATTGTAAGCTTCCAGAATTCCCAAGTGTTCTGTGTGTGTGTGTGGGGGGGGGGGAATAGAACTGTATCCTTTTCTAAATCTTGGTTCTTTTTGGGAATCTTTGAATGGCATCTTAATTTCCTGGCTGTTTATCTTTCCATAGTTGTGTTTATTATGTAAATATTTTATGTCATTTTGCCACTGAGGCAAACCTTTGAAGACTGGAGTAGTTTAGGATTTCTTAGAATTTGTGAATCTTTTACAGTACACTAAAGAGAGGGAGGCCTAGGAAATTTGAGTGAGCTTGATATTTCTGATAGGATATCTAGAGTTTAATATTTTTTTCCTATTTTCTTTTTCTTTTCTTCTGCTTGAATTTCACATTGCTGGTATCTACTCTTGTTTTAGGAATTAATTTACATGATCTTCTAAGGACAAACTGAGATTTACCCCCATACCATCCCCATCAACCTTTGTGTTTGTTTGATTCTGGCACTTTGCATGGTTTATAGCACATATTAAGTACTTGGTGGAGAAAACATGCCAATAAGGGTGAAATAGAACCCTGAACTTTGTAGTAGGGACTTTGTGACAAGTATTGACAGGAGTAGGAGCTTGGGTAGTAAACTCTCTGCTCTGTTGCATGGTAAGATGGTATAGAGCATGTGCTTATTGGTACTTATCAAAGAAACTTTGTCACAAAAGCATGGATTTAGGAGTTTAATCAGAACTGAGACTTGTTTGTCTGCCTAACATCAAGGTCATTGGAGATAACAGGCCTCTAAGCCTTTGCTGTATATTGACTTTATATCTTTCCTAAACCAGTTAATGCAGTGTATCTAGGACTGCTTAACTTAGTCCAATACCTAATTCATAAACTTAAAAAGTCATAATTTAACTACGAATTTAGGAACTAGAGTATAGTTGCTCTACTATGAGTTTATATCTAATAATCCTCTCTTTTTTGGAGGTGTAAATGCTTTTGTATCCTTGAAACACTTGCAACATTTCTTGGTATATATTTAAGTGTCAGGTATCACTGCTTCATAAAAAGGAAAGATACTCCAGGTGAACTGTGACAAAGTTGCCCTGGTTAAGAGTATGACAAAATGCATCATAGGATGACATGACTATAGCAGTATTAGCTGTTTCTATATTTTTTTTATTGAAAGTAAACATTTTTTCCATACAATATATTCCTTGCTTTTGTACTGCTAAAGACTAAGATAAAGCTATTTTCTTTTCCCCCTTTTATTGAAAATAGATTTTTTTCCCCTCACATATGATGTCTAGATTATGGTTTCCCCTCCGTCTACTCCACTCAGTTCGTCACCCCCCTTCCCTCCCATTCAGATCCCTTCTCTTTCTATATCTCACTAGAAGACAGTTTTCTAAGAGATAGTAATAAAATATAAGTTAAAAACAAAAACTAACATGTTAGAATTGGACAAAACAAAGAAAAGGAATAGAGCCCATGAGAGAGCACAAAAATCAGAGACCAACTTGTTTACACACCTGGAGTCTATAATATACATGCAGAGGACCTGATACAAACCTGTGCAGGCCCCAGTGCATCTGCCTCAGTCTCTGTGAGTTCACAGGAACTTTGTTCATGTTGATTCAGAGGGACTTGTTCTCCTGGTGTTCTCTGTCCCCTCTGGCTTTTAGAGTGAAAGAATACCATACAATAAACAATAAACCAAAACAAAGAAAACATGAGAAGCACATGCACACATACACACACTATAAAAACACAAAAGTGGAAGCCATCATATATAAACAAAAGACCAGTATGATTAAAAAAAAAAAAAAAAAAAAAAAAAAAGCCAAACAGCATTATGAGGCAAAAACATTTCCAAAAATACCATTGAGTTAACTCGTTTTGTGTTAGCCATCAATTGTTGGTCATGGGACTTGCCCTTAAGTGTGACTTATAAGCCTAGGGAGACTCCATTGGAGAAAACTAATTTCTCCTTTGGGAGTAGTTGACAATTGGAGGTAATTTCTGGGTTAGGGATGGGGTGTCTGTCTGCTTTCTTTTTCAGCACAGGGACTTTATCTGACTTGGACCTATGCATGCTGCCAGTCTCTGAGAAGGCACTGTTTTCTTTGTGTCTCCCATCACCATTGGCTTTTACAGTGTTTATGTCTCCTCCATAGTACCCTGAGCCTTAAGGGGAGGGATTTGATGGAGGCATCCCATCTAGGACTGAGTGTTAAAAGTTATCTCATTCTCAGCACATTGTCCAGTTGTGGGTGTTTTAAATTAGTTCCCATCTACTGTAGGAGGAAGCTTCTCTGATGATGGCTGAGCAAGACACTGATGTGATTCCAGACTTATGTATCCAACCCTTTCTCTGAAATCAGAGTTTTCTTCAAAGTACTCAGAATACTGAAGAGATATGATGAAACCCTATTACATTATTTTTTTCTGTTTTCTGTGCATATCGTGCTTCTCTTAGTATAAACAGAGAATGCAAATACAAGTCAGTCAGGAATAGAATAGCCCAGGAGGTTAACTAAAGTGTGTGTGTACTACATATATAAAATACGTTCAAATTGAGATTACCTTGTTTTGCTAAATATTTTTAAATATGGATTACTGTGGCCTGCTTGAATGTTCCAGAAGTGCTAATGAATATTTTTTCAGATACACCCTTCAATTGTTCACTGTCCTTGAGTAGTGAGTTGTAAGTAGTGAGTCCAGACTAGGCCTGAAGGGCTGGCACATGTTTTGCTTTGCCAGCATTCTGAACAAGTTAAAGATTAATATAGCTGCTTTAGATAATTCCTTTCCTATTTTTTTTTAGATCAGTAATTTAACCCCAAATTACAAAATTTGAAGTGTTGGTTGTATTCAGTTTTATAAGTGAGGCTAAGTTTATCAAGGGACTTCTCTAAAGAGCTAGAATATGTAGTGTCTTTACTCTCAAATTACTGAGCCCTTTACTGTGTACCACAGCTGGGTTGATAGCAGGTCATTTAGTTTTTCTCAACCACAAATCTTTGTGGTTGTGGTTTCTATGTTGATATGAAAATCAAAATATTAATTTGATAAGCCATGTATAACTATGTAGAAGTGAACGAGCATTGCATTTAAAAAGTACTGTAATATTAAAGAATATTTTGGGTACTCAAATGTGGTGTTGGTTTAGAGCTTGTTTTCTTTACAGACTCATATGCTTTATGAGTGGGGAAAATACAAGAACTGAATTTTTAATAAATAATCAGGAGTAGCCTATCGTTTTCCCAGAGATCTAGATGATAATTTCTGTTTCTCGTTTTCTTTTCTTTCTTTCTTTCTTTCTTTCTCTTTTTCTTTCTTTTTTGTCTCCTGAAAACTAGAATCCAAGTAAGGAATGTGAACCTTACCGAAGAAATGAAGACAAACCAATTGCTCCATGTGGAGCTATTGCCAACAGCATGTTTAATGGTATGCTAGATATAAACATCCATGCAGATAGATAATTAGAAAACTGTATGCACTTAGGGAATTATGTAATAGTCTAGTAATATGAATGAAATTATGAAATTCACCTTCAAGATAAATACTCAGATAATGAATAGGATTTAAATACTTTCTGGCTTCCCTTTGAATGTTCTTTTAGGAGAATGGAATTCTATTTGAGAAGAAAATTCCTATTTCTTATAAAAAAGTAAAAGCCACAGAGCTACTTTCACTGATATACCATTAAAAGGGAGTTAGTTATAGTTGGTCATTTAGATATGCTTTGCCTGATAGAAATACAGTTTGAACCCTAAATACAAACTCTGTCAAATTTTCTAGTACTTTATATTAAAAACCCTCAAAAGAAACAAGTAAAATTAGCTTGAATAATTTATTTTAATCTAGTGTGCCAAAATAGTATCATTTCAGCATATAAACGTAACTGAAATTTTTGTGTGTGTGTGTGTGTGTGTGTGTGTGTGTGTGTGTGTGTGTGTTTATACACTAAGTCCCTGGTAGCTGGTGTGTATTACATATTCAGTAGAACTTGTGCTTTTGTATCAACAGTGCTTCAGGAGCTGAATACCATGTGTGGTTACCAAGTACAAAAAATGGGAAAGGTAGTAGTGATTAGAATGCAACAGTAACCAAAGAAAGAGAAGAGAAAAAGGATACCATTTGCCTTTTATTTGGACTGATATTAAAATTCTTGCTCTAATATCAGTTAGCCATTGAGGAACATGACCTAGATCTGTAGAGCATAAGGGCATCTAGCCATCTAGAATTCTATAGTTGTGATAAAGGACACATGTTCACCCTATGCCTTCTCTGTCAACTGCTTTCAGAGAAAGCCCCAAAGTCCCATTTCTCATAGAGTTAATCAGATGCTGTGGATTTTTAGTAGATGTTATAATATCTTCTATTTCTTATGCTTAGATACGTTAGAGTTGTTTCTGGTTGCCAATGAATCTGATCCCACACCTATTCCAATTCCTTTGAAGAGGAAAGGTATTGCTTGGTGGACAGATAAAAATGTGAAATTCAGAAATCCACCTGGAAAAGAAAGTCTCATAGAAAAATTTAAAGGTAAAGCATGACTAATATCCCCTCTTGTCTAGTGATTTGAGTAAGGTAACCTAAATTTGTCGTTAGAGTATTTATTTTTAAAGAACAGCATTTTCTTTCTCAGCATTATACCGTTATGTAAATGTTCACTTGTACTAAAATTGTAAAGGAAACGTGTACTTTTCATTGTGATTTGAATTTCTCTGGTGTTTTCAGCTACAATCTTTAAAAACTGGAACTGAGTTTGTTTTAATCAGCCCCTATTTATAATGCATTTTTTTCTATGCTACCTTAGTTTTGTAATGCAATATTTCTCTTTAAAAATTCTTTTTTGCATTTATTTGTGCATTTATGTATTTACTTTGTATGCATGTGTACTAGCATATGTATGTATGTACCACAGTGCATGTATGGAAGTCAGAAGAGCTGGAGGAATCTGTATTCCTTTTAACCATGTGGTTCTGGAGATTGAACTCTGTTCCTCCGATCTGGTGGCAACTGCTATTACCTGCTATGCCGTCTCACTGGCCCATGTATTTCTTAATGTTATATTTTTGCCTTTTATTTAGTATCCTTTTTGTATTTTCTTGAAATATCAACTGTCTTTTTTAGTTTTTGTTGTAGATAGAATTGGTTTCTCTTAGATTTATCCTTGGGATATGGACATATTTATACCTTTTTGTTTTGTGCTTTTTTTTTCTTTTTTAGTATTATGAATTGTCATTAAAAGTATTAATGGAATTGAATATTTTGTTTTCACATCTCTCTCCCTCCCCAACTTATCTTTAAGATACAACAAAGCCAGTAAACTGGCATAAACCAGTATATATGCTAGACCCTGATGAGGATAATAATGGATTCATAAATGAGGACTTCATTGTTTGGATGCGTACTGCAGCATTACCTACTTTTCGTAAGTTGTATCGTCTTATAGAGCGGAGAAATGATTTACATCCAACATTACCAGCTGGACAGTACTTTTTGAACATCACATACAGTATCCTTTTTTGGGGGTTATGTGTACACATAGAATTTGAGTTTCATTGCCTTATTGCACTCTAGATTTGTTTATTGTGTGATATTGGTAATTGAACATAGTCTTACTCATCCATTTCTGCATAGGTATCAAGCCTTATGTACTTTTTTTTTAATTTTAAAGTTCTTTTTTATTATGTATTCATGTATGATATGCTCATGTGCCAAGGTACATGTGAAGAGGTAAGAGGACAACTTTGGAGTTGGGTTTTTTGGTTTTGTTTTGTTTTGTTTTGTTTTATCATCTTTTTACATGGGTTCCAGGAATTGAACTTATGTCATCAGGCTGGTACATCATGTACTTTTACCCACTGGGCCATCTCTTTGGGTCACAAGCAGGCTTTTATAAGAAGGAAATACTGGGCAGTTCCTTTTAACATTAGTAAAGTTCAGTGTTTTTAAGTATTTTGTCCAGTGTATATGTATATACTGTAAACATAAAGATTTTCAAATATTAGCATTTTAAATGTGTATAACCCATAAGTACATTCCTTGTTTATTTGTTTGGGATTGGCTCTCATTATGTAGCCCTGGATGGCCTGGAGTTCTTTATGTCTCTACAGAATAGGTTGGCTTTAGACTCACAGATTCAGCTGCCTCTGACTCAGGAGTGTTAGAATTGAAAGTGTGCAATACCACACCCAGCCTAGGTTTTCGTTTGTTTGTTTGTTTGTAGTTTGAGTTGTATAGTAAATTAGTAAGTGGCTATTAGGCTAATTTTTAAAATTAAGATTACTTTTGATTCTTGGACTCTGGGTTATACAACTGAATATGGCCTAATAGTGGCTGACTGAATGCTACATGGCTTTGAAACCAGGCCCATTTAGGGGCAGTTTTGCTAGTGTGTTGCAAAATGTAGAACACGGAGCACTAGGAACTTTCATAGAGTGCAGACTGTTTTCATGTAGGGAAGCTGCAGCAGTGTCCTCAGGACCAACAGCATTTTCAGGAAGAATGCAGGGCATTTCAAAGACTGACAGTATAACAATACTGGTGGCTTGGAAACATCAGGAGTTAGCTGTAAAAATACAAGATAAGGAGGAAATTAAAAGCACAGTTGAGTGGAGTTAAAATGGGAGTCCATATTTTTAGAGGAGAACGAACGTAGTTGATTTGATACTGTATTTGGCCTTGCAGAGTTGGATCAAGTATCGTGATTCCTGCCTTAGGTTCAGATTGATTTCAGTAATTAGAATGGGCCAGCTGCAGCTATGATCTTTTGCAGGAGTTTCAGTTCAAATTTTAGTTTTAGTTTTGTCTTGTCTACTCTATTGGCAGCATCCTAGAATGGGCCATGTTCATCCAGAGTATGAGTTTTGTTATTGCTGCAAATGAGTTGACTAACACTTGGGAATCATGCTTTGTGACTCTCTACTTGAGTGCTCTCTGATGTGCTTAAACAGTCTTTTCTTATTTCTTGTCTGTTAACATCCTGTGTGGGTGACATTTCTGCTCATTTGACCTATTTTTCTATATTACATTACTTTGAAGCCTTTAATCCCTCTTAGGTAATAAACAAAACTACCCAAGGTAGTTTATTATTTTGATAACACATTTTGGCTTTTACTAGTAACATTATTTCACTAGCTCATGTCTGGGAATATTTATCAGGGGTAGAATGCTTTCCCCTGAGTTCAATGTCTAGTAACACATAGAGAACACTTTCTAAATTAGGTTTTTAAGATGATTTTATTTTCAGCACATAGCTGCACATGCCTTTAATCCCAGCTCTTAGGAGGGAAAGTCAGGGAGATATCTTGTGACTTAAAGGCAGCCTTGTCTACATAGTTCCAGGTCAGCCCTCTTGAATCCTGTCTTGAAAACAACAATAACAAAATTTAGTTTCATTCATCTATCATCTACCTGTCTGTCTGTCTATCATGATTCAGAATATGCAAGCAAGTTATCTATGTATCAAAATTGTAGAAGTGAATTATAAGCAATTAAATGTTAACTTTAAAATGTTAACTTTAAATATCAAGTAACCACAGACAGAAAGTCTTCCTATACCCTTGTCAGATTACCCCGTACATTCTTTTGATGGACGAAAACGGATGATCTTGAGCACTATTTCATGGATGGGAGGAAAAAATCCATTTTTGGGAATTGCTTACATCACTATTGGATCCATCTCCTTCCTTCTGGGAGTTGTACTGCTAGTAATTAATCATAAATATAGAAACAGTAGTAATACTGCTGACATCACCATTTAGTTTTATATTCTGAAAACAAATCTACTGCATGTGCATCAAGGCCAGTCCTGTTCAACCTAGCCTTTGAATGCTGATGTCTGGTTAGTATGTCATTTTGAAGTTGGCACATAACTTAAAAAAACAAAAAAATGCCTTTGTCCTTTGCTTCTTACATATGGATGACTTATGAAAATATACGACGGGTATAAAAATTAGGTATATTGATCATATCAATATTGTAACTGCTAAAATGGCATTATTGGGACAGGCCATGCGATGCATAGAGTCTCTGTCATGTGAAATGAGTCTACTGCTTAAGCGTTTATGCTGTGTTGATAACATTATATTGATATGATGTTGTACATGTGTGCCTCCTGTGTGAAGAAAGGGATTATGAGATGTAGGAGTGTAATGACTTACTAACCCTTTGAAATTTGGTTACAGTTCAGATTGAAGAAAGACTAAATATAAATAAAACACTTCATTGTTTTCATGTGTCGTGTGTAAAGGCTTAAAGTCCCTCCTTGTTGAGGTGGTTCATGTGTCAGTTTCTCTATTATAGTTATTTGGTAATAACTTTAATTTCAGAGGACATACTTAGCTTGTCCAGTATAGGAATTAATATCTAAAGAGGTCAGGTAGGTCTTGGATAGAATTTTAAATCCTTTTTAATTTGGCTAAGATTTTGCTTTCTGGAGTCCAAGCTACTTGAAATGTTTATATGTGATCATCTCCCTGAAAGCTTACACTTCAAAAGGGAAGAAAGAATATAGGTGAGATGGGACAGCTGCTTGGCAAACCCTCATCCTCTGTCAACTGTAAACCAGGTGTAAATGTTCAAAGGAGACTGTTGTCATTATTGTGGTGTGTAATGTTAAGATGATTGCTCTGCCTTGGAAATACCTCAAGCTGTTCTTACTTAGAAGGTAAGTATTTTGATTTAGTACTAATATTATAGCCCAGAAAAATACTAACTTCTTCCATATTTCATTAAATACTTGCATACAGGTCAAATAAATGTGGTTATGTATACAACTCTCTTTAATAAAGGTAATGCTTTGATTAGTTTTCCTAAGATATCCCTTAAAAAGATGTTCTATACATTTCCTACTTGAATTCGAGGGAGGGGGGATTTGGAAAATGTTCATGATAAAAAAAATATATATCGGATTGAAGTTACTTTATTTTCTAACTAGAATTATTTTAATATTCCTTTGATGAATAAATGCTGTAATTTGTTTGCTATGGAAGTTATTCCTGAAGTGAATGTAAATTATTTTTCCACATGCATGAAAATGTATGTATTAATCAAAATTGACTCATTGCATTGAAATTACTTGTTTTTATACTAAAGTAATGCTTGTTTTTCAGAATGTGTAATGATTTCCTTTGGTTATATTTTTAAATCAAAAGGTCTGAGTAATGTTTCAGTTTAGATTAAGATGTGCTTAAGATAACAAAAAATTCAATGGTTCATAGTAGAAATGTGCCACTTAAGCTTTGTATGATATGAAATTCTGTTAAAAGAGCTTGTAATTCATGGTGACTTTTAACTTATAAAAATATTACTTGCATGGGTTACATGGTTTATGGATATATAAAAATTTCTCAGGACATAAGTTCTTTCTCTAAAATTATTCTTTTGTCAGCCATTCAGAATGCTGCTGTTCTGAAAATTGTTTTTTGCATATGATGTTCAGTTTATTTAGGGATTCTTCATAAGACATGAGATGTTTCTGCCAGTCTTTGTAGTGTAAGTGCTGTTTAAAGAAGACTGCTAGCCTGCATCTCTTTCTCTAACTGGGGGGCCAGGGGAATCTGAAGAAAATCTGAAGAAGTCTATAACATTTTTCTTGTCTTGAAGATGGAATCTTTAAAAGTACAGTTGAAGCTTTATCTGATTTACAAGTGCATTGATGATCTGTGTTCTTCCCTGGTTCCTGCCATTTGAAATCAACTCCTGTTGTACATATGAAGAAACTGGGACATTCATAAAGTTGATGTCATTAAAGCGACAGAGTAGAAAGCTTAGAAAAATACGTTAATTTGCAAGGAAGTGTGTTGGCATGAGAAACTTTCCAACTGAAAAAATTATTCACTAAGTCATAAGGCAGTTTAAAATAAACTGGAGAAAATAACTGTTCTTAATAGAGAATGATTCAATTAAGAGTCAAGTGACTATTACTGCTTATTGGATAGTAACAGTTTATTTGTAACCTTAATTATATTACAAGTTAACATTCTGTTAGTATGTTTTGTATTAATAAAAGTGAACAAAATTAGTTGTGCTATGTATAAGTGTCTTACTAAAATAACAATGCCCCTTTGTTCTTGCTAATGGTTAGTACTCAGTTTTAACCAGGCTTAGGGAGTCCTGATTTTAACTTCATTGTTCTCAACTGGTGGCTCCACAGTGATCATATATCAGATGTCCTGCATATCCTGCATACTGATACTTACATTGCTATTCACAACAGTAGCAAAAATCACAGTTACGAAGTAGCAACAAAAAATTTTAATGGTGGGGGCGGGTCACTACAACAGGAGGAAGTATATTAAGGAGTTGCAGTATTAGGAAGGTTGAGAACAACTGTTTTAACTTCTTCATGTGTGCATTTGTTAAAATGTCATCAATTTTCAAATTATTATATTTATTAATCATTGATAACATAATCATGAGACGTATTCATGTTACCAAAGAGCATCTATTCTTAGCAGCAAGTGGTGAAATTGTTATCTGAGTTCTAGGCAGACTGGCTAGGGTTGATTTTATATCAATGGGATTGGAATTGATAGCAGTGAAACCAAAGAGGCAGTAAATAAAACCATAAATAAAGGAGGAACAGGTGGGGTGGGGCTTGCTCTCTGTCTGCATGGAAACACTGCCTGAGTTTTCTTCTTTGTGAATGTGATTGTTTTCAGTGTGAAGGGGTCAGAAATGCTGCTGTTATTAAATTTTGATGTATAAATGCCTGTTGTAGAGTTTGGATGATCTAATAATGTATTTTCAAGCTCACTTTGGACCATGCACCCATCAGTCAGTCAATGTGAAAAGCACATTTTTCATGTTATTTGAAATTTTAAAATAAATATATTGTCTAAAACCAAATGAGACCATGGTGGCCTTGTTTTCTTTTATATATAAAAGTAAGGTATGTGCAGTTTCTAACATCAAATAATTATTCTAAAGCATTATGATGAAAAAGAATAATCCTTAACAGAAATTTCCTACTATTCTTCAGACACACACACAAACACACAAAATGAATACATGTAATTTTTTTTAATTAAAAAGAAATGACATAAATCCCTTTTCAACCTTCATATTTCAGTAATAGCTTGACTACACATACAATTTCAGGTTAAAGGCAATTTTCTCTCCACTGCTTTCAATGAATCTAGTCATAGATGCTGGCTCTCCCCAGATGGCTGTGTGGTTGTCCTCTGTCCTATGTTTTGTTGTGTATATTTTGATACTTTGAACTTTAAAGAGACTTCGGAGTTTTAGAAAGTTTTGAATATTTTAAGACTTTGGACTTTAAGTGCTTGGGTTTTTAAAGACTGTAGGATTTTTTAATATTGGAATGTTTTAAGCCTCATATGGTGGTGCATGCCTTTAATCCCAGCACTTGGGAGGCAGGGACAGGCAGATCTTTGAGCTCAAGGCCAGTTTGGTCTACAAATTTAGTTCTGGGAAAACAAGGGCTATTTAAACAGAGAATCCTTGTGTTGAAAAACAAAACAAAATGTCGAAATGTTTTATATTGTATTATTATATATTATATATTGATGTTGATATTACTGTGAGATTTTGGGGATGAACAAGAAAGGAAAAGGTCATGGCCTAATGGTGATGTGTTTGTGTGTCAAGCTGACAAGGAGTCAATTGTGCTGGCCAGTTTTATGTCAACTCGACACAAACCAGAGTCATTTGGGAAGAGAACATCAATTGAGAAAGTGCTCCCACTAGATCATGTAATCTTGTGGGACTTTTATATTAGTGATTGTTGTGAAATTAACTCACATCTTGTGAGTGGTGCTACTTCTAGAAGGTGGGTGGTCCTGGGAATATATAAAAAAGTAAACTGAGCAAGTCATGAGGAGCAAACCAGTAACCGCACTCCTTTGTTGTTTTTGCATCAGATCTTGCCTTCAAGTTCCTGACTTGAGTTCCTGACTTAATTCCTTTGATAATGAGCTGTGATGTGGCAGTGTGAGCAAATTAGACCCTTTCCTTTCTAAGCTGCCTTTGGTCATGGTGTTTCATCACAGCAATAGAAACCCTAGCTAAGACAGTAGGTGCCCAATAAACTGTTCCCATTCACGTCTGTCAAGCCAAACAAATTTACCTTTATCTTTCTACTTTCTACAGCCATGTTCCTTTGCTTTCCCCCCCCCCCCCCTTAGCATCTGGCTTGTGAATAACTCCTGATTTTTCTCCCTACTTATTTTCCTTAGTTTCTTTTGTATATATTAGTAATGCTCACCATATAAAATATTGGGAGTTTTAGAGATTGTATTCTGGACACTTACACATACTTCTGGAACAAAAGAAGCACTTTTATGCCTTATTTATTGTAAATAGTGACTTACTGTGTAGCCTTGGATGACCTTGAACTCTACATGGAGACCAGGCTGCCTTCAGAATCACAGAACTCTACCTGCTCCTCCCTCTTGAGTGTTAGGATTAAGATGTGCATTACCATGCCTGGCCTAGTAAATTACCATTTTCACTGCCATCCATACAGTGGATGTTTATGTGTATTCACTGATATCTTTCCTAAGCTCTGGTTATTTACTATTTCTCTTGAAAAATGATTAATATTGAATTTATTAATAACACAAAACTACTAATCATTGCATATAAACTTGGATTTTCTTCCATTGCTGTTAGAGGCAGAATGGATACTGGCGGTTGTGCCCAGACTGTACTGGGTCACATACACACCCTGTTCCAAGGAGTTTCTTTTACATTACTCTCCATGGATTGCTGGGTAGACTGACTATTATGAATTAATCTAGAAATTTTCAGCTGCTTAACCTAAATAAATCACAAACTGCTGGTTTTCCAAGGTACTTGTTTTTAATGTGCTGTCATATGTGTCTACTCATCTATATCCTGCTGCTGCTGTTGCTGAAGTTCAGCTTTCCTTCATTTTGGTGTTATTACGGAACCTTCTGACTCTCTGGCCCTACTAACTTGGGTCCTCTCCAGCCTTTAATTACAGCTAGCATTATCTTAAAATGGAATTTGTATTCTAAGCCTGCACTTTTTAAAGCTTTGAATGGCTCCAAGGCACCTTCAAAATGATACTTAAATTAGTCATGGCAGCCAGCCTTCTGCTGTGAACAAGCTCTTCATTTGTCTTTTTGCCAAACCACACTATCTGCTTGTGTATGCTCTACCATCTGCCGAGAGTTTTCTTGATGTGTTGCTTTCAGCAGTAATAGCTAAAATAATATCAACACAGAAAGCACAATCACAAAGATTGATTGAGAAAAATTAAGAAACAATCCAGCTTTGATATACAATAAAGTGAGATAGTAGTAATCTGGAAGTAAGGGCACTAGACATTCTAGTTTCTCAGACAGGTCCCTTGATTAAATTTGTACTCAATGCATAAAGTGAATACAATCATCAACTTCAAAATTTTGAATCTGGAGTTAAATCTCATGTAAGCATTACTCAAAAGAGTCATTTGTAATATAAAAGAACAAGAACAAACATCAACAAAGTAAACATCAAACTGGTATTTTGGAAAAGAACCCATTTTGAAAGTTAGCTTATGTATCATTGGATAAATGCGGAGACCTGGTAATAAATTTCTAGGACATTTATGAGGGGTCAGTAAAGTTTGATAGACCAAGGTGAATTCCAGCCACATTTTTCTTTTATCCTTTTTTTTTGGGGGGGGGTGTTCAAGACAGGTTTTCTCTGCATAGCCCTGGCTGTCCTGGAACTCGATGTGGAGACCAGGCTAGCCTCCAATTCCTAGATCTGCTTGCTTCTGCCTCCCAACTGTTGGGATTAAAGGTGTGTGCTGCCACCTGGCTTCAGCCACATTTTCCATCCAAATAGTGACAGAATGCAGGAGGCATGCAGATCTCTGAGTTTGAGGCCAGCCTTGTCTACAGAGTGAGTTCCAGGACAGCCAGAACTGTTACATAGAGAAATCCTGTCTCAGAAAACCAAAACCGACCAAACAAACAAAAAACCAGAATGCAGGAACAAGGAGCTAGTGAACAACCCTGGAGCTGACAAATCTGTGGAAGGCGGCCAATAAATGTTAGTTGGCTTTGTTTGTTTTTGCTTTTATATTTAATAACTTTTTGTGGAGGGGAGGGCACTATTTGTCAGAAAATATTAAGCATTTAAAAATTCTGTCACTCTGGATAGTAACAGAAGAGAAAGACAGAAACAAATTTAAGCTTTTGCAGAAATCCAAGCAAAAGATATTAGGTTGGCCCGCAGTGATGGTGTTGCAGATCATAAATAGATTAGATATTGAGGTTGTACCTATACAGTTGGTTGTAGAGTGTAATAGTAAAATGTTTGGGGAAAATTGCAGAGGAGAAGGTTTAAGAATAAGAAAAATAGAAAGTATAAGTTAATTTAGGATCTACATTAGACATCTAAAGGATGACTTGAGATTAAGGGAAATGTCAGTTCACATTTAGGGAAAGGTAGGATACTTTCAAATTTTGGTGTTGAACGGATGAGAGGCCAAACAAAAACTAAAGGGAGCAGTGTGAAATAGGACTTCAGCAGGGTTTACATGGAAACTTCACTAAAACCCCCTTGTTTCAAACTCACATTGCTATTTCCCTTGGTGGTTTATTTCCAAATTAAAATGTACTCGAAGGAATTGAGCAGCTGTGTTATCTGTTGTTGCTAATGCAGAAGCTTGCCTAAAATGTGATTTAAAAAAAAAAAAAAAAAAAAGTAGGACCAAAGAAAGGGTCTTTTTATTCTGGAGAAGAGAATGGGATAGTAAATATTTTCTATGTGTGCTCTCCTTTTAGAAATGGAATGTGTTTGTAGATGTAATGATCCAGTAAAGAGAAAATTGTACTGTCCTAAGGGACAGGCTATAAAGATGTGTATCAACAGTAGGTCTTTTTAATGTGAACTCTTAGTTTTTTGGACAGTCAGTATTCCTAGGACTGTCAAACAGTATGCATTCACTGTTGGTGAGTGGATTTACCTCTAATTTAGTAGTGCTAGGGAATGATAAGTATAGAGTCTATCCTGGGAAAATTTATAGCCTGTGGTGAAACAAGAGAAAACAGCACAAACTAAGGAATTTCAACTACAGAAAATAAACAGAAAATTCCCTAGACCCCCCAGCTATTGGCATATATGGTAATTAGGCTCAAAGATGTGGTTGCATTGAATAATTCAGAAGTATTAGAAAATAAGTTGGTTGTGATGGGTGTTTATAAACTTGGTAAGGAAGAAAAATTAAATTTAACTGTGTTAGGTAATGGGCAAATTAACGGAGTAGATAAAAGGACAGGTATTGGCACAAGACACCCCAGAGAAAGTTCTTAGCACAAAGGAGATTTGCCTCAGTGGGACAAAGAACAGGAGATAGAGAATGAGGGAGGAGAAAGGAACAAAGGGAAAGAAGAAAGGAATATTTGTTCTGTAGAGATAAAAGACTGCCTTTGGATAGAGAAGAGCCATATGCGGCCCATAGGCAAGTGGCAGTTTATAAAAGTAAATGGGGAAACCCATGTTAGGATGAAGTGTTAATTTTAATTGGGTATTTATTGGGTGAGCCAAAAGGGAGCTTTTTGATTGCTGGACTTCAATACTTTGATAGTTGAATTTTGGTAGTCCGCCCCAGGAGGAGGAAGTGGCCAAATTAGGGAATAGACCCAGGTGGCTGGCTCTAAGAATGTAATCCAGTGGTGCATGCTTTCAATCCCAGCACATGGGAGGCAGAGGCAGGTAGATCTCTTCGTTTGAGGCCAGCCTGGCCTACAAATCAAGTTCCAGGACAGCCAGATCAGTTAAACAGGGAAACCGTGTCTCGAAGGGGTGGTGGGGTGGTGGTGGAACATAATCTAACCATTCTTAAGCCAGGAAGAGGGAAAAGGAGAAGG